TCTGCCCGCTAGGAAATTTTGTTCTTAGTCCCTCTTTTGCGGGTTTCGTTAATTGCTATTGAATCTTCATACGGTGGCTAGCTAGATAACACGTCCGTGAAGCTTCTTGATCTCCCCGAATTGTTTCCACCCCATTTAATGTTGGAAATTTGATACATTGATGGTATGTAGAGGGGACTGCTTTCATTCGATAAATCCAGGGAGTCCCGAGGATGATGTTGTAAGTTGCGGGCTTATCGAAGACAACGAAGTCCACGATCTTCGATACCTTCTTGGCAAGGACCGGTAGCTTGATTGTTCCGAGAGACATGGCTGACTCGCTTGTGAACGCAACTAACGGAGATGGGGGTCCTACTATGTCTCCTCGGCTGATTCCCATTCTTTCTAGAGTACTTAAAAAGATCAAGTCGACCGAACTGCCCGTATCGATAAGGATCCTTGATACTTCGAAGTTAGCAACATCAAGAGTAATGACTAGAGCATCATCATGCGGTCTTTCGAGATGCCGCGTTTCTTCTTCGTTAAATGATATTGAGGCACCTTGAAAATCAACTTTTTCGCTCAAGCTTGCTTTGAGTAAGACATTTCGTCTATGTTTTTTGATGGAACTTATCGAATCTCGACAAAATTTTGAGCCTCCTAGAATCACATTGATCTTACCCTTCGAACTCCTTGGTTCTTCCTCGTTGGATAACCTTGGTCTTTTGGAATCTTGATCTTTGGAGTTTTCCTTTGCTTCGTGGTATTCCTTCACAAAATCTTTTATATCGAATTTGGAAAGATCTCCACTGGCCCAAAGCTCTGCGAGGTGCCTTTTAAGAACGCTGAAATCCTTGGTTAAATGTCCGGTTACTTTATGAATGTCGCAATTTAGACTTTCATTACGGACCCAAGTGTTTGATCTTCCTTTCCCTTGGAATTGCTTTCCGACGGTACTGTTGAAGGGTTGCGACCCAAATTTCCTTGGTCCTTTGCTCTCCCTAGGCTCGAACTTCTTGGTAGGGACGGTGATTGCCGGCTTTTCTTGCTTATTTCTTTTGGCAAAACTTTCTTTTTCGTCCTCTACCTCCATCCAGTTGTTCGCGCGGAAGAGTGCATCCTGAATTGTGTCTGGTTTATGAAGTATTAAGTCTTCTTTAAACCTTGAATCATGTCGCAATCCTTTTCGTAGGGCAGATAAAGCTGACTGCTGCGAGATTCTTGGGAGCTTTGACAGCACTCCTTTGAATTTGGTGATGAAAACTCGAAGTGACTCATTAGATCCTTGCGATAAGTTCCAAAGATCGGCATCCGAAACGCTTTTATCCATAAGAATGGAGTATTGCTTTAAGAATACGGCTGATAGTTCTTCGAAATTGCTGATCGAACCCGGCTCTAATTGGGTGAACCACATTAGAGCTTGGCCACATAGATTCTTCGAAAAAAACTTGCAGTAGCCTGCATCCTCATCAGCTTCATCCAACTCGACTCTTCCAGCTGCGATCAGAAAAGCTGCGAGATAGCTTTTTGGATCCTCCAATCCGCTGTAGGGGTCCAACTTGAGTTTCCGGGAATCTTTGATCCTCAAACTTGCAATTCGCGAGATGAAAGGTGTTCGCCTAGCTTCTTCAATGACTCGACTGATGTCTGGCTCCGAACTTGTAGCTTGATGAAATTTTGATTTCATTTCTTTTAATTCCTAGCTAACCTTCCTCATGGTCTCGAACTGGTCGAGGTTCTCCTGCTCGTATTGAGCTGCAAGTTGTTCTTCATCTCCGAGCTGTGTCTCTTCTTCCAACGTCTGAACTACATTATTAGTAGCACCGGGAGTTGTTTGTCCGCTGGTTTCATTTTGTGCAGCGGAACTTGGCGAGTTGAATATCCCTCTTCGGATTCCCACAAAGTTTCCTGCACTTAAAGAGCGAACACGAGTTTGTATAGTATTGACGTTTTGACTAAGAGATACCTGGGATGTTTGCAACGTATCGACGGCCTTTTCCACATCCAAGAATTTTTGTGATATGTCCGACATGGTTTGCTGCATAGCTTTGAGGGTTTCGGCCAATGATGTCTCAACGGTGTCTCCTCCGGACATTGTTGCTTATCTCGGAAGTGTAATAAAGAAAAATCTGACCACTCAAGAATCCTATTCCCCCACAGACGGCGCCAAAATGTGGATGTCGGATTCACACACTCAAGTATTTTTATTAGTAGGAAAGATTATTCTTGAGGGACAAAAATAAGAACGTAAAAGGCTTATAAATTGCTACAAAAATTGCTATCGTATTTCTTGCTTTTGAGGAAGATCCCCTTTACATGGCCATTGGCCTTTATATTTATACATAGAGAAACGACATTAAAATGAGTAATTAAGTACAATTATTCCTTCTTAAATGTGTCCGTTTTGATTCTTTGACTTTAATGCTCAACGTTTGAATTTGAGTTGACTCTGATCTTCATGGGCCTCGCTTTTTTGGCCCAATTGTCCTCGAACCGACTTACCCGTGTCTTCTACACCGAACTCATGTTACAGTGCAGTCACTTTGGATTCTCGAAGTGGTGACAACCACTTCGACCGTTCCCTCGGCTCACGGGTCTAATGGGCTTTATCCTTTATGGGCAATTATCTTGACTACGTGGCAATCTTTGGTTGGTCTCGGACTTCTGGTGCGGGATCCGACACCAACACATAATGGTAAAGAAATCAAAACAAGACGTAAACTTGTTATTTTGGGTTGGATACACACCAAAAATTTACTAAATTTTGCTTGGTTAGTCGAAACGGTAACACGATTTAGGCCCATTTAAAACTCGGGATATAGGCAATTCGACGAACATACTCGCCATAAGACCGATAAGTTAATCCAAATGAAACCTAGATTTTTGAAGTTATCCATTTAAAGAATTCTGAGCAAAATAGTATAGTTTGACCTGATATTAGGACTTGCTCACCATACACAACATTTCGACGAGGCTAATAAACAGGCGGCGGAAAGTTTCTTATTGACTACAGTAAAACCTCTATAAATTAATATTGTTGGGACCATAATATTTTATTAATTTATAGTGATTTTAATTTATCTATACATTAATATTTATTAATTTATAGTGATGTTAATTTATCTATACATTAATATTTATTAATTTATAAAGAGATATGTCTTATTTCTTAAAAGTTTAGAAAGAAATGAATTTATAAATTTTATAGTTTTGGGCTTGAAATTTTAATAGTTTGAAAAAAAACTTTTTCGAAAATATATTAGACAATAAAATTACAAAAACTATAGATGAATTTATTTATACAAACGATATACGTAAATTCAAATTTATGATTAATGATCTCAATTGTCGTATTTTAACAGCTATAAGACTATCGTAATGAAAATGATGCATATTCATAAATTAAAACCTTATAAAAAATTTTGACTATTTTATGATACAGTTAGAGAGTATACTACACCAGTATACTTTAAAACCACAATAGACCAATTGTTTTATTCAATAAAAGTTAGACAATCACATATGTTCTAACGAGAAATTCAATTTAATAAAAAAACAACAACTAAAAGCATACTTTAGTATAATAACTTATATATATATATACATGATTATTAATTTATGATATTAATGGAACCATATATTTACATAGAGATTATAAAAAAATTATCTTATTATCTTATCGAATTTTGTCAAATTTTACGTGCGACTTGGAACCGGACAATTTTATTAATTTATAATATTTTTTAATTTATCGAGTATTATAAAACCAGACAATTTTAATAATTTATTGTATTTATTAATTTATCGAGTATTAATTTATAGAAGTTATTCTGTACTTAAAATCGACGGTGAAGGATTCAATTTTCGTCTCAGTGACTTACAAAAATTATTATTAAAAACAAAAAGCTTTGCGTTAGCTCATGTTAGCTCATGTTGATGATGGCAAAGTAATAATTTTTTTTTTTTTTCTCAAGGTGTAACTTTATTTATCATTCAAAAGAACCATACATGAAATGCCAAACACTTGTTTAGCCTCACACATTCTACTCGATTACATATTCTGTGATTTGCATTGTGAAACTTTTAATAATCTCAAACCACATAAGAGAGCAGTTGGAACACTACAAACGGTATCAGTAGTGCTTCAGCTTGTTGATCTGATGAGAAAGGGCCACATGAAAACCAGCCATAGTCTTGAAAACATTTCAGCAACTGGTGGTGCTCAAGAGAGATTAACTCAATATCTCCAGTTTCAACCCTTCATAACACTGCATTCCATCTGTTTTTGTTTTACCAAACTAAGAACCTAAGCTTATAAACGATCCTAGTAAGCTCAAAAGAAACATATCAAACTAACAAGGAACTCATGAAAGGAGGAAACCCAGCAAAAATTTCAACTAAAAATAAAATACTAAAATGGGCAAAACTAAATCTCTCACTTAACCCCCATCCTAGGAACATTTACACTTAACGCGCGACCCAGCAGAGCCATGAGTGCAATCTAATCATACCCGAAACTTCTACTAGAGCCTCAACCACTGAGATCCTAAAGCTTGAAAGAAAATTAACCACAAAGCACAAAGATCAAATACTAGCTAAGAACTTATGACCCTAAAACAAACCAACTAAACGACAGTTGGCCCAAAGTAAACAAAAGAAAGGCCTTATTATAATACACAAGTGGCCCATAAGATAGATATGGTCAAACGATGAAAGCATGATTAATTGAACACGTGGAAAGAAACTATATCACCCTTTGAAGATGACGCCATTGAAGCCACGTGTAAGCATATCCTTCACTCAAATAATGACTCTTTGGAGTCGCTCAGGAAGAAAGATTCCGATCACCGGTAATCAACGTCGGAGAAGTATCCGATCATCTGTGAACAACATCGAAGAGAATTCGCCCGAGACCGAAACTAATCCAAATATCCAATTCGTCTAAACTTCTCGAGTTCATCTTGAATTAGTGAAGAAAACTTAAACTGATGGTAAAGTAATAATAGAACCAGCTTTCTTGATAAAATATAACAATTTTTAATCTAATTAACACCTCTCAATTTATGCAGAAACTTAAAAAGCAAGTACAAAGCGTTAGTAGTATTAAGTTATATATCAAGCTTCAAAAGACTTATTTACAAACCAACAACACTTTTGTATATGAAGTATCCTCTCTTCTTTAAGTACATATACTTGGGTTATTAGTACTATCTTCTGTGGTATTCAAAGCTTTTTTGGTCGAAGCCATTTCTCCCCTCCCCGTATTTCCGCCCTGAAAAATCAAACCCCGATGATAGTTTTGCAGATCGACAATTCTCATAAAGATTGATGTGAAAAAACACTTGAATATGGTCATATGCTAAAGTAATTGTCCTAATAATGACTCCATAACATTTTCTAGGGAATGTTCTAACTTCTAAGCAATCAATACCTATGACATACTGTGTCTTTCACTCTTGTGCCCACTCGAATATGAAAAATGCTCGTCAGCGACAAAACAGAGCAGAGACAGAAAACAATGAAAGACAATAAGAATGTAGCAGCAAACTAAACACCATTAACAACGTTCAACTTTTACACTTACCTTCTCTAGCTTTAGCTCTTGTCTCTTGTTTTTTTGCTTATAAGACCAGCTTGAATCCCTTGGACAGGAAATCATCCCTGAAAGTAAAAAAAACAAACACGATAAAGTATCGATACAAATACGAATGGAAATAAAGTTAACGGTAAGACTTGGATTTCATTAGAGAAGAAGAAAAAAAACCACACCTCCTTTTAGTGTTCTGCATCATTTTAGCTTCTCTAGCTTCTTTAGCTTCTTGTTCTTTCCGATACTTAATGTTTTCAAGATCTCCTTTACACCCCAAAACAAGGCTACTCACAACGACTTCCGCACTATACGAGCTAGGACAATCCTTAATCCTAAGAGTACTCATCTTCTTACTCACTACATCAAACCACACTAGCTTTGTATTGTTAAGCTCCAAAAGAACCTTATCCTTGTCCTTAGAATAAACCAAAGGTCTCATATACGCAAACGATTTCACACTTTTCGGTTTCTGAACCGTAAACACCTTAGTCCAAGAACTTCTCACATTGTATTCTTTCATCATCCAAACATCAACATACTCCTGATCGTAGTTACACATCAAACAAAGACAACCATCTAAAACACTGATATCCATCTGAATATCGACATTACCATTAGCAACAGTTTCCGGAAACCTCACAATCCCAAACTCTTCCAAGGCAAGATCAAACCTCACAATGAGATTAAACGCAATCAAACCAGGTCTTCGAGGTAAAACCCAATGAAGACTATTACCAGCAAGAACACCATAACCACGACGATACAAGAGATGATAATAAAAGTAAAACAAAAGCCGAATCGACGACGTCGAAACCGATTCGACTCTTTTCCATGAATTCTTCTTTAAACTAAACACTTTAACCTCATAAGGAAAACTACAACCAAGCTCATCATCTGAATCTATCTTAAACTGAACCATCCTCACAACTTTATAATCATCACTAACAGAATCATAACCAAATCCGTAAAACACGTAACCACGAGTACTCGAACCATCAGGAAGATCGATAGACGAAGGAGGTAATCGATGAATCTGTCGAGTAGACGGATTAAAAACCGCTAAATCAGTTGGAGAATTCGATAACCCGATTAAACCGTTACTGGATCCGAAAACTTCAGTGGGACCACCACGTTTCATCGGATGCTCGACGTCGGAGACAGAATCAAGTGAATCGAGATCTACTGTGTAGAGACGAAGAGCTCCTCTGAGAAGAATCATGAGATGATCACCAGATTGAAGAACGCGATGAAGATGAGATTCGATGAAATCGGGATCGTTGATTAGATGATAGCATGGCTTTGAGAGAGTACGACAACGAACTAAGGTTTTTGCTGGTAATCGGAGGAAGATGTCGTTGACGATATCCATTGGAATCGTCGCCATTTTTGTGGAAGATGATTGAGATCTAGAAGAAGCTGTGATTTTAGTGCTTTTTAGTTTTTACATTACACAGTGGTTGGAGGAGAGAAGTCGGTTAGGTTTTTCAGATAATGTTTTTTTATTTGTCTTTTTTTCTTTTTCTTTAACACCAATTTGTCAAACAAAGATATATTAAAAGAGTTTGATAGATTATGTCTTTTTTTTTTTTTCAATCAGATTATGTCTTTTTAAAATAAATAAATATACATTTTTTTATTACAGTAGGATTAAATTTTGGTTTGACAGAAACAATAATTCTTTTTTTATATCCGAAAGATAAAATACCATTACAGAGAGAAAAAAAAAAGCTTTACTAAAATGAAGCTGATAATGAATAAGATATTTATTGTTTATCCATACAAAAACAATTAAAATCGGTTAAGAGTTTAAAACTCATTTTGTGGACTTGGGCCCCTTTTAGTGATAGTATAATCATTTCACCTTGGTTCTTAACTTTATATAGAAGATATAGACAACAACATCGATTGATAATTTTATTAATCAAATTCGAAGCACACAATTACAAAGAAGAGACGAAGGAACAATGAAGTATTAGAATGTCCCACATTGTTTGGGATTAAGATCTTTGGGTAGTATATAAAGGATGTGGCAATCCTTAACTCTTGAGATAGCTTTTGGGTTAAGTTAGACCACATTTCTAATATGGTATCAGAGCCCAAGGTTGGCCCAACAAGCAAATTCCCACAAAAATGGTTTCCCACTTATGTGGCCCATATAAGTGGCATGTCTTGTTGTATTTCCGAGATGTTGGGCTTGGGCTGTTTCCCGTTGGACCGTTTCCCACCCACATCTCGAGGAGGCCTATTAGAATGTCCCATATTGCTTGGGATTAAGATCTTTGGGTAGTATATAAAGGATGTGGCAATCCTTAACTTTTGAGTTAGCTTTTGGGTTAAGTTAGGCCACATTTCTAATATGAAGCAAAGGAGTACAAACTTGGCGATTATATACACACAAACCCATTTTCCATTATTGCTATCAGAAACGTACGTTTATTTTTAACTATCCAAGGAAAAACCCATCTTAGAACAACAACAAGTAGATAAGAAAACATGTTCAAGCATCGGTATGATTCGTTTGTTTCATAGGTATTCAACTTACGCGCAGTGGAATCCTTTGGAGCTTTCCTACTACAAACATTGAGGAGTACGGTGAGATTGATTGGAAGGTTAAGGTTGATTCCAAGAATGTTAGCCTTGAGCGCAAGTGCAGATGCATACTGCAGCCTCAAGGTCAGCCAAGCCTTGGATGAGCGAGCAACATGGCTTTACAGGTGGGTTTCCCAATGTTAGGTCCAGGCCCGGTCCTAGGAAATTTGTGGCCTAAAGCATAATTAAATAATATAATTTTTTTTTATAAAAACTATTTTAAAAATTTATCATTAGTTTGAGAGCTCAAATATATGGTCTGCTGCTATGAGAAAGAGATACAAGAGCTTAGGAGCTTTAAAAACATGGTTGTGTGTGCATTGGTCATTGTTGTGGTGTTCTATTTCTTCCTCGTATAAGATTAAGAGTATGTGTAAGAATAAGATTAAGAGTATGTCCTCAAGATTAAGACCATTGTTGAGTTTGTATTGAGTTCTTAATGAAATAACCTTAATATTAAGAGGAGTTTGGGATTACATCCGAAAATGACAAGAAAATTAGAAGCCAAAACCAAAAAAACCATCATCAAACCCCTAAACTCCGAGTAAACTACTAGAAAAAACCATCATCAACCACTTACAATCTCACACACTATTACAACCAAAAACCATCATCAAACCTCCTATAATCCGAGACACTATGGAACCAACTTGTGATGCAAGATAGCTTGGCTTGCTTGAGTAGCTTGAGTTC